GGATTGGTGCTTAGCTCGGCAGCGACATGATACAGGAACAGCTTGACTTGAATATTTCCTGATACAGTGCTGCTTGGTGGGGCCACCACAATGGACCACTATTTTTTTTGTCACCGGCACGACAGTTATGTGGGATGGAAGGTCATTCGGCCTGGCCGGGTTCTTCCTGATATTACTGCTGTGGATCCTCGCGCTCTCTGATACGATGCGGGCTCTGCAAACCGGGCCTAAAGCCTTGGTACGGCAGGCACAAGCAGGACCAGTCTTCAACTGCGAAAAGGGCTGGTCTTCTTCCTCCTGGCCCAAGGCTGTAGCCGCAGGCAATGCAGATGGAACCAGTGGGGCACAAAGGGGGAACAGGCACTGCGGTCTCAACTGGGAGGTGACAAGGAAGAGAAAGGATTCGGGTGGGGGACTTTATTTTTTTTTCCAGTCAGCGCGCATGGCGTACCCAGCCCGCGTACACTGCACTTAGAACATGCCTGTTCGGGAACTCGCGCGGTGAGGGGAGAGTGCTCGCAGTATGCTCAAGACAATAAGATTCAGCCAGGGGGAACGATTCGGACGGAGGGTAAACTGTGGAGCGTGCCCGGCGTGCGCCGCGCGCAGCACAACACGATTCAGACAGGGGGATGAGTGTGGACCATACTTGCGGCGCATCGCGATGCGCTGCACTGCGCACGTGCGYCGCACCGCGCATCCCGCACGACGCGCGCGCACTGCATGCGGCGCACCTCCAAAAATGGGGGTCAAAAAAAAAAAAAAAAAGTTGTGAGGGGCGGTAGTAGACCCCGCCCCCTGCTCGGTAAAATAAGAAACGGGCAGCCAATTTTTTTTTGGAGGCCGCGCGTTGGCCTGAAAGCTTTTAGTAACCTGTAGTTCGGGTAACACTCTGTGTGTATGGTAGGGTTATTGCAGTCTGTATGGTAGGGTTTTTGCAGACCAGATTCAGTCATGATGGGGGTCGCGATCTCTCAAAACGTTCTCTTCTTATTACTTCTGAAGTAGAAAACGACGGAACTGACAGCCGTTTTTGCTGGAATGTTTTTTTTTTTTGAAAATCAGAATTTCTCTGCACGAGTGTCGCCCGGCACGTCCAACCTGTCAGAACCTCAACGGTAATTGCAGTCTGTATGGTAGGGTTCTTGCAGGCCAGATTCAGTCTTGATGAGGGTCGCGATCTCTCAAAACGTTCTCTTCTTATTACTTCTGAAGTAGAAAACGACAGAACTGACAGCCGGTTTTCCTGGATTTTTTTTTTTTTTTTTAATAAAAAGAAAAAAACGTAAAGGAAGAACAGAATTTCTTTGCACGAGTGAAGCCCGGCGCAACCAACCTGTCAGAACCTCAACGGTAATGTTCACCAACGGGCTCGCTGCACTACTCTCGACATGCACAACAAAACATATATGGCAATGTATCTTTCCATGTTCAAGCGGAGGATTCAGTCTCATTTGTTCAGAGATTCTCCAAAAAAAAAAAAAGAAAGGTTCCAGAGATACGTTACGTGCTTACCTGATTCGTCGGCCCTTCACTCTCCACCACCCAACGTATGAATGAATCTTCCTCCAGAACATGGAAAGA